CCTATAATTTGACTACATTCTGACTGTCTCAAAACAAGATTTGCCAATGGGACAAAGCCATTTAGTCTTATTTCAAGAACTAATGATTTATTTTCTTGTATCTTTTTAAAACAAGATACATTTCCCTGTCCCATCGTCAAATCATGTTTTAAGTAGGGCTGTCTGGCATGCGCCTCCTGTTCGGCGACCCTGCTCCCATCTCTGTGGAGTAAGAGACAAGTGCCCAAAAATAATAACAATTGTAAACCGCTTTGTGACTCTGGTCTGTGAAAGGCGGTATATAAATAAAGATTACTTACTTACTTACTTACTTACTGTCAAACGATTAAAAATTTGAATCGAGTTAATTACATCTTAAAAATTAATTAATCGTAATTAACGGCATTCCAAACTATCAGCAAAATGATGCCATATTTTTCTGCAAATGGTTGTGCCTATTCTTTTTTAACTTGAATTCCCAGAGGTCCTACTGTACCTACTCTGTCGCCATCACCTGTGTCCACAGCATTCTGAGTGTTGTTATTGGATGTATGGGCGTTAAAAGCGTTTTGGTTTTTTTTACAAACCCAAAGTAAAGCGGCCTCCATGTGTCTTTCGTCATGAGTATACATCCTCATATCGGCATGGTACATATGTCACTGCATGTTTCTAAACCCAGTCACGTTTTGCCAGCCTTTTCCGTGTGGTTCTGTCTTCATTACAGAGCAGGGGGCCAAAGCTGCAGGTATTCGGATCGGCACTTTGTCAGATGGACGCGTTCATTGAGTGAGTGGCTTTTCCAAAAGCCAGGTGTGCTGTTTGTTGATGTCAAAGCGGACGGATTTATATGCTTAGTGAGTAAAGGTGCCCATTTTACTGTGAAAGGCGAGGCAATTTAGGTACTTTTAGATTCATTTTATCACTGCATTTTCCATAAACATCCATAACCTTTTGAACAATTATGGTTTGCATCCAAACAGTGGGCTACTCAAAGCACACACTGACTTTTACTTAAAACGCAAAAGCAGTGCACAATATAGCCTATGGGCCATAAATAATCAGCTTTTTACAGGCATGAGTATTTACAACAATAAAACAGATGTCGAAATATATACTGTATATATATAAGAAGTTTGCTCATTCATCATCTGTGCTTCAGTTTGCAGGTTTTCCAACATTTTGTCCATAATCCGAAGAACTTTCTCAATGGATTAAGAACACTTTACTTAAGATAAAGAACGAAATGTCGGAAAACCTGCTAACTAAAGTACAGATGATGGGTGAGCAACTTTCCTTTCTTTCAATTAAACCTGTAGAACTGAGAGCTTACACAACCATGTCAAATTTTAGTCCGCAAAATAAAGTTTTTTTTGACACTTGATATGATTTTAAATTCTTACTATTCACTTGCAATATTGGTAATAAAAAGTAGACCGTATTATGCATAATTTTCAGTCAAATCCAGTCAAATAACATGGATACACAATATAGCCCATTTGAATTCGTGACTGTGTAAGCCATTGCATCCTCCAACACTGCAAATGGCGTTTATTTGGCAGAATACCTTGTACAAGCTCCTACTTTGGATCCTTTCATGTGTTCAATAGCATGTATATGGAAATGAGAATATATTTTATGTCCGTCTTGTGTGGGTACTGACAAGCATAGCAGATTGTCACACACTGTCAGCATTATGAAAGACATTTGCATCTCCTTTGCCTAAACCATGACACAAAGCCGGGCGACATTTAAATATTCAATAAACACACCATCACCCTGATCATTCTTCATCTCTAATAACGAACACATTTGTCAACATTTTGATCGTTTTAAAAATTCAAGTGATGGCTGCCTGGCCACAATTGCAGGGCCTGTAAATGTGTTTTATTGCCTTTATAAAGAATTCATGCTGGTGTGATGTGTGTGGAGTGGCTTAGTGCTGGAACACCAAAAGACAGATCGCTGTAATAAAATGCCACAAAAAGGGCAAGTGGAGGATAATTCCATTGAGTCTGAAAAGCGGACAGATGTATGGAACGTTTACGCAGCCAGCACAAAAATCAACTTCAGCAACAGTGTGTACAGTGTTTGGAAAGTCGGGAATACAAATCATACTTTGAGCATTTGGGCTGTTATGGGAGTTCATTATGAAGTAAACACGAAGCTTCATCCCATTTGTGAGGTGTTTTCCCCAATTTCAGATAAATGCATATTTTTTGTTTTGATTGTAGTGCATTTTCTACCTCATTATTTGGGACCTGGCCGAGTATCTGCAGAATCTGAGAACGTGACCCATAACGTGACCCATAAATCTTGTCCTCGTGTCAAAGGAGATGCAAATGTCTTTCATAATGCTGACAGTGTGTGACAATCTCCTATGCTTGTCAGTACCCACACAAGACGGACACAAAATATATTCTCATTTACATATACATGCCATTGAACACACTAAAAGACAATTTTTTTAAACTTTATACAGTATAATACATGTTGATTTTATGTAATGCATGTTCTTGGTCCTAACGAACAACATTTTCCACACACAAAAAAAAAGGCAGATTACAACATGCTTATCTTTCTATTTGTAGGTAGAAATATCCCTGTTAGTCACCATTTGATGCTTTGTGCTAGAGCTGAAGGCTGAGTCACAGTGATCCTCTTTTTACACTTTTCTGTCTGAAAAAGCTGATCCAAAGATGTGACAGATACTGACAAATCCATGCACGAGTGATAGGACCAACATTTTGAAGATGGATTTTATTATGTAGTTAAATGTTTTGCTGAATGGTACGTCACAAGCTTTAACTTGTGACTTGATAGCGACAGTTGCTTGGCAGACTTCAATATCTACTTTTCCGAAAGCATTTATTAGAGTGGATTTCTCATTCAGTTTCTATTTTTTTACCCATGTTTTTAACGGTTTTTCCTGGAGGTCTAAGATCCGATGTTTTGGGTCATTCCTCTGAACATGGATTTATTATGCTTTTTTAATTTCCTTATCTGCTATTGGCAACAATTCCATAAAGTCATTAGTGATGACTGAACATAATGCATTGGTCTGAATCCTAAAGAGTAAGAATCCATAAAGACTATATTTGACATATTCATACAGTAACTTCATCATCAATTGCACAGTGTAATGCCACTGGAGTAAACACATTTTGGTTTGTGTAATTATTATATATTTCTTGAAAGACATGTTTGTTTTTGGAAAAATCCTGTAGAAGAGACTCTCTGCTCTGAAGATGCCATTTTTTTCTCCTCTATACCACCTCAAAGACCTACAAAGGGGCTCTGACCTCGTTTCTCCGCTCCGAACATACAACAGCATTTCAAGAGACCATCTAGTTTGTTTTATAAGTGAACTCAAGGCCTAACACGACAACACAACTCATTTGCATTTAAATTAAATGACTTTGTTTTATGAAATTAAATTCTCACAATACAATCAATAAAATGCACTTCTGTTTATATTCAAGAGAACCTTCATTCATACTTTTCTCCTGCGGCTCCCACATGATTATGCGTCGTTTAAAGCCAGTAAAGAAAGACGTGCCATGCAAGTGCTGTGGACCATAGCTACAGTAAAGAACATGTCATGCATAGTGGAGAGATGCAGTCTTTCTGCGTATTGGTCATAATAGGAAGATAAGATGAGAGACGTTTTGAATTAATAAAACAAGGACAGCAGATTTACCAAATTAAATTGGCCAAATTTTTTAAGTGTAGCAAAACATTGGGAAACAAGTGAAGACAAGGAAGTTCCCAGAGCTCATCCTGGGGTATCTTGGTGAGCAAATGGTGGTACTCTCTCTGGTCTCTCTCTCTGGTCTCTGCTCAAAGCATAGATCATAGCACAAGTTCACACGGTCATCCAGCCAACTTCAGCTCTGCTAATATACACATGTTATATACTATTTTATAGCTTACAATCTCTATAATTAAGTAACTAGTGAGTAAAAAAGGCTTTGAGGCCATTTCTGCTCTGCACAAGTATTTACTTGCTGCAGCAAAACCACATTGGAGAAACTGTGCAAGACTATCCCATCAATAGTACACACTAGAGCTCCTGCCCCAGCACCAGCCATGTGGAACAAAAGAAGGCAGGATTGTGAAGAAATCTGTGACGGTTCTTACAACTATACAGATCAATCGTTCTGTGAATAAAACCTTTGAAAATATCATGGATTGTCAACCATTTTTAAAATAATTTTCCATCTATATTTTCCCAATTGACTTTCTTTCTTCTTGTGAAGCCTTTTTTGCTAGAATTCCTCCATGTTTGAGGCAGAGTGGTTCAGCAAAAGACAAAAAACGTTACGCCCTGTTTAGTCATTATTATTTTTTCCTCATCTTCTAATATTTCTATTTTTCCAACTTGCTTCAAAGGATCACACCATTACACAATCCATAGTTTTCCACTGTCCATCTCGCCTCTTGTCCACTTTGTACCTAATGATAGCCTCAAAATGTGGCTATGGCTAAATGAGGTTATTACATTATGGAGGCACTAAATGTAGTACCCCATAATTTCAACAGTAATACAATTTAGCAGATTAATACAGGTCAAAACGTTTTGCGTAATTGACGGGCATAATGGATATTTGATCAAATCATAGAGATGTGTTCGGATGAGGACCATATAGATGCCTTTGAATAACATGTAGGCTATGCTGTTAAAGCCCAGCAGGAGGTGGAAATAATGAGAAGTCCCACAATATAGAATATATCATTACGCTGCTGGGGGACCGTAATGCGTTCTCTTCATCAAACAGCATTTACCGCCTTTTAAGAGTTGCTTGTTTACTGCCCCTTAGACAAAAACGCCACATTGGGAGCGGTTGAGTTTATGTTGCTTTAATGAGATTTTTTTTGTTTTGCTCATGTTCAATTTCAATGTTATATATAGTTGGGCGAAAGTACAATGCGTAAGGTCTTCTAGTTCAAGTATCAAAGATAGAAAGTGGCTCCAATGCTGAAAGATGTGTAATTGCTTTTTAGAATGGAAAGTTTTGTATTTGCTAATGGTGAAGTTTGATCAGAGCGGTTTCTTTTGTATCAGTTCCCGCTGAAGAAATCACACACACAGTCATACAAAAGTGTAGATTTAAGTTGTCATAGGAGGAAGTGTGTAAAAACTGTATAAACAAATGTCTCTACATTGAGAAGACTCACCTATCCATATATATGCGTTGCAACTTTTAACGGAATTGAGTCACATGTTTGTTCCTACTGTAAAAATACATTTTAATGACAAAAAGTTGAACTACTTTTGCACACTGGGGTAGTCTTGCACAGTTTTTCCAATGTGGTTTTACTGCAATGGGCTCTATGCACGCACCACCTTTAGTTACAACCCCACTTCACTTCCTGTTCGCGGGGAACGGCTTGAGTTTCACTGGAGTTCAGCAGTGGTTTACACAATTTTTCTAACTAATGCTCAAACGGGAATTAAACTGTGAGGATACTGGGCCATTTTGGGACACAGCAGTGCTCTTTGATTGTGCTGTCATTGTGTTTTTATAAAGTTAACTAATTTCCACAATCAAAGCTCTACCTCAGAGAGAAAGTACAGCAACACTTTTGGGTCAGTCTAATTACTAAAAAAAGGTCACTACAACTCACCTAAAAGCCATAGCATAGCATAGACAGGAAGTGAACGGGCTGTTCTTTGTTAACAGGAAATTACGTCACGCCTCCCCGTGCATATAGCCTATTGGCAAATTAATTCTTCAGACAAAACAATATTTGGATGATCCCAAGAATAAAACGGGTTGCCACCTGGACAGTTCAGAAATGCATACCTTTAACAAGTAGATGTTTTACCAGAAATGTACATCATAAACCACCATCATCCACAAAATATTGGCAAAGTTTAAACGTGTAGCTTTTTTTGAAGAGTATAGACACATTATGCAGTCATCTATCGGCCTCATCCAGCTACAGACCAAATACAGATTCCCAGTTTCCCAAAAACGCCACAATGAAAGAAATTCCTTAATGAGTAATAAAACACTGGTATTGATGCTGAAATGGCCAAAAAAAGAGAAACCAATCAATATTTTTCACTGATCTGGTTATACCCACCCCCCCTTCCAGCCTTCACTTGCCAATCAATGTTCATTTTACAGGCTCATTCACAGCCCTCACATCGATCCCTGGTGCCTTTTGGACGTCCCAGAGCAGAGAGGGATTGAAAGCTGGCTCCCGCTGCTGTCTGAGCCGCAGATGGACGGTCGTACCCACGAGACAGGACTTCATGTTCCAGGTCCTCAGTGGTGGGAGCAGAGGGGATCATGGGAGGGCACTGGGCAGCCCGAAAGCTACTGGCAGCCATTCGGAAGAGCGACTCGAGGGATGCTAATGCTCCGTAATGGGTTGGATGGTGGGTGACTGGGCGAGCGAGTTGGAGAATGGGTGGATTCTCGTTCCAAAGATGGAGGGAGAGGGAAGAAGATCTGCCGACTTTACCATCTGTCTGATTTGAACAGGCCTCTGCTCAGAAACTAACCTAACTTTGAAATAAAACTACTTTATCAGGAGTTGGCAATTATACTTTTGGTTGATTCATTTTGCATGTTTAGGGTGGTGGAGGAAACTCACCTAGAGACAGTGAGACACATGAAAATTCCACACAAAGGCCCGGGCCGACACAGGATCAAACCCAAAAACAGTGCTAAAGTTGCACCCTCTTGGTTTATCTTGCTGGTTATAACACATGATGAGATCTGCAATTTTGGTTCCCATACTATTTACATTATCAACATAAGAAACTGAAATTGGGATTTGATTGGTGACGGCAGTATGGAAGTAGATGAAGGTATGGATTGTCCAGAGACATGTGATAGGTATTACCAGATAACATTGTCAGAAATATGACAATGCACACCAATCCAAATTGTGACACATTCAGACAAAACAAATATTGTGATGCATTGTCATTAAAAAGTTGGTGTCCCAATCAACCAGGCAAATTTCCTCCATTCCCTATTGTAATGACAGTAACAAATCAAAAATCAATTCAAAATTCATCTTTGGTTAGTTATTGTTTTGATACTAGTATATGCTATTCTTCAGCACTGGATGGTCTGAGGGCAGTGAAATTAAGTTTTGTTTGTACTCATGTTTTTGTGAGGTTCCAATGAAAGTAAGTTAAGTAATCACATTTTGCAAATAGTAGCACCAATCATTGTATTGTTTTAGTTTACTCTAGTTACTGAAGAAGAACGTGTCACCGCACAGTCACCATTTCCCTGTAGCGTGTGCCGTGCCTGTTGCCTGTGATGCTGTGGTGTTATGAGAAGAATGGAGGTCTCATTACGACTTCACATTCTCCCAGAGCAAACTCAGATTGAAGAAACACAAACATTGCACAATCACACAGCAGAATCTGCAAATAACACACACATCATTGATCCAAATTTGAGAGAGAAATTCAGTGAAATGTAGCAAATAATGAGCTGCTTCAAACAAAGACAAATCCTCTACAGTGGCCTGAATAACAATCTAAACTGAAAGCAGGATCACAATAGTGTCATTCAAGCTTCTTTTTTGACTGGGAATAAGAATGATTGTGAATCCCAGTGGGTTTGTTCTCTGTGAAGCAAAATGGTTTACTTCCATAACAGATTGTTGTATTTTAATTTAACAACTATGTTTTGGAATCTGCCATCTTTGTGTTTTTTATGGAAAAGTTTATGGAAACGTCATTTTGATTTTTAGTCCCACATCTAATCAACATCCACTCATCATCTAAGGAACTCTTTTTCGAGCTGGATTTTTGTTAATATATAATTATACAGTATGTTTTGTTTTATTATCATGTATTGTTTCCTTTTATTCTGTTTGTTCTTTTTCACCATGGCTCAAAATAAAGTATTAATTCATAAAACAACAACGATACAAGTGACATAAGTCTATCTAATAAAATCCATGAAACTACAGTACAGCCAGATCCTGTGAGACTTTTAAAACTAAGAAGGGAAGGCTCTGGTAAGGTTTTGTGGGGGATCGTACCCTTGACCATTGAGCCCAAAGACCAATGCTCTTCTACCTGAGCCACGGTGGCCACTTGAACTTAACCCTCTAGGCGCCACGGTCGACTTAAGTCGACAAGCTGTGGTACTGTTTAAAACGGCCGAGTGTGTCCAACTGAGTGTCAAAATTCATTCATACTCCCTGCCACTAATCGGCAGACATGTCAGACTACCTCCCTGGCCCCAAAAAACTTCATGCTCTCATACAAATTATTCGAGCAAGACCGCGTTAAACTAGTGCGGAAATCATAGTGAAGCGAATGCAGCTGCGGGGCAGCCTGCGAGTGTTATAGCACACCAAACACTAACTTTAGACACTTTGCACAGGTTCTGCAGTGGGAACAGTGTTTCTCAGAGTCAGGGCAGTCATTGGGAGGTTCGGAGACAGGTTAGATTTGCGGAGAACCAGCCTGGAACTCGCGTCGGGGCGCCGCGCCGCGACCTCCCGCCTCCGCTGAAGTTTCCGCCAAGTGCTACCCACATATTTATTTTCAAGCCTCCCGTAATCACCGGGACAGTAACGTGTTTGAGAAGCCTTGTCTTGTGTGTGTTAGACGAGAGAGAGATCAGGGGAGATGAGAGAAAGAGTGGGGGATACATCTGCAGCAGGAGAGTCGCAATGACGCGCTTCACCTGGAGGCGCGCGTCTGCTGACGGCAGACTGCTCACAGCAGCAGCATGATTTGTATTTTTTACTATTTTCATGAACATTTACAATGTTACAGTGTGTGCTCTCTGTGTGTTCATGTCTTAGCAATCAATATATGTCTGTCAGTTAGAAAAATACAAATATTGTATGAAATTATTTCTAACGCCAAATGACGTCATAATATAGATAGATAGATAGATAGATAGATAGATAGACCTTTATTGTCCCCTGAGGGAAATTCATTTTCACAGGCACTGTCACATACAGGTTACAATAAACACAAGAGACACCGAAGGGAGGGAAACACATACAACGCAGGAACAGGGGCAACATTACAGACTGTTTAGAGCTGCTATCGCTGAAGGGACAAAACTTTTACTAAATCTTGCCCTCTTCCATCTTAGAGTTCTGTATCTGCGTCCTGAGGGCAGCAGAGTGAAGTGGGTGTGGAGGGGATGGTCTGGGTCAGTGCTTACTGTCTGGGCCATGCGTGTTACTGCTGTGAGGTTGAGCTGAGAGAGGTCTGCGGTGGGGAGACTGATGATTTTGGATGCTGTGTGTGTGACTTTAGTGAGTTTGTTTCTGTTGGTGATGGAGAGCATGTTAAAGTAACAGGGGGAGCAGTAGAGGAGAATAGGTTGAATGATTGAAGAGTAGAGTTTCAGAAGCAGATTTGGAGAGACAGAGAGGGCACGGAGCTTACGAAGGATGTAGAGTCTTTGTTGGGAACGTTTATGGATATCTGTGACATGTTGTTCAAAGGTGAGTTTATTGTCGAGTGTGAGTCCAAGGTATTTGAAGTGATTAACCCGTTCTATTGTTTTGTTGTGTATGAGAGTGGGAGGCAGGTCTGGGGTGTGTGAATGAGAGTGGAAAATTAGTTCCTTGGTTTTGTCCGTGTTCAGTTCCAGAGAGTTTTCAGAACACCACTCTGTGAATTGGGAGATGGACTGATGGTAGGCAGTGATGGAATTATTATCTGTCAAGAGGGCCAGAATGGCAGTGTCATCAGAATATTTGAAGTATGTGGTGGTTGGAGATGGGCTGATGCAGTCGTTTGTATAGAGGGTGTACAGGAATGGACTTAATACACACCCCTGGGGGGCGCCAGTGTTGGTGACGATGGTGGATGATGTCACTGAGTCAACTCTGACGGCCTGTGGTCTATTGCTGAGGAAGTTATGAGTCCAGCGAATGAGGAACGGGGGCAGGTTGAGGAGTTGGAATTTCCTGATTATTTGCAAATGCATATATGCAAATTAGATTAGACAACAGGATTTAATGAAGAGGTGTTTTAATGCCTGGGAACGCCTTGGGGTCCCCCCGGACGAGCTGGAGGAAGTGTGTGTGGATAGGGAAGTCTGGGCGTCTCTGCTTAGACTGCTGCCCCCGCGACCCGGCAATGAATAAAGCGGAAGAAAATGGATGGATGGATGGAAGGGTGTTTTAATGCACCGTGGACTTGTTGTGATCAAAGTTTTGTAAATAGCACAATGAGCTCTGAAGAGGCAAACGTTGACTGATAGCTTCCATGGTAGGACTCATGTATCAACGTTTATATGACTATAAACGTGTGTCTATAGCTACTTGGAGCGCGTTGGAGATTTATAACCTATGGGTGTGGTTGGCCAGGTGATAGAGCAGGGTCCCAAATCCCGCAAGAAGCTCAACCTCAATAAAAATACATACATACAATGCTATACTCTGGTGCTCTGTGTACCGGGTGCAGCTCTGCCACCCACCTGGATGGACAATGCTATACAGGCCAAAGAGTTGAAAGAATTTCAAAGAGGTAGTGCCTTATAATCCGGCAATTATAGTAATGCCTCTCTAATAAGACTTATTCTGTTGGGAAAAACTAGAGTAAATGTATTTATAAAAAATAAAAAAACGAGATCCTGACTTCATCATTGATTATTTGACACACAGGTTTGGCCTTGGGTTTTGGTTATACATTTCTGAACAGTAAACAATAGTTGAAGTAACTAAGACCGCTTTAGGACACATATTTTTCTTCGTAAAGCTGTGTGCGAGAGAATTATTGTGACGCAATTAGCCCACAGGCTGTGAGCTTCAGCTGTTCCAACCACTCTGCAGGAACCTTCTCCAAAAGATATAAATACAAGGAAAGACAACAACATGATTTTTACGCCACAATGCAAACAGAAGCCCGGTGTAGACAAACAGCCATGTACTTTGCACTCAGGCTGTAAAGGATTATTTTGATAATCTGTTAGTTGGGCAGTAATTAATTTAATAATCAATACAAACATATATAAATCATTCGAATGGATTGATTGTACTTATTTCAAGCTTATAAACAGGAATCAATTATAGACCATATTACATACTATTATTATAAACGAACATACGTACATACATTTTTTTTTTTCATTCCTATTAAAACAAATAAAATGTGATAAAGTGTGAATGTTTAACTCACTCTGTTGTAAATTTGTATGGCAGAAGAAACAAGTTTTGGTCCAAAAACCGATCAATCAATTCCTAAATTAGCTGACAAATTAGCTTCAATAATCAATTAGTTGCGACCACTCAATGAATTTGTTGCAGCCCTACTTTATGCAGAGTTAGCTTTTGACATAGACAAGTCAGATCCGGCTCGTCAATCCTTCACAAGCTCAAAATTAACAT